CCTGGCCAAAATGCTAAAGTTTAAGTATAATATTTGTGATATTTACTATACTGTAAGAAGAACTTTAACAAAGAAAAATGGGCAACCCAGTAAGAAGATGAGAAAAGCCCAGGCACAATGACTTACAACTGTAATCTCAATGTTTTTGGAGACCAAGGTGGGAGGATTGATTGCTTGAGTCCAGGAGTTTGAGAACAGCCTGGGCAACATAGCGAGATCCCATTTCTTAAAAAAAAAAAAAAATTAGCCAGGCACGGTGACATGTGCTTGTAGTCCCAGCTACTCAAATGGCTGAAATGGGAGGATTTCTGTAGCCCAAAAGTTCAAGGCTGCAGTGAGCTAGATTGTGCCACTACACTCCAGCCTGGCCAACAGAGCAAGATCTTGTCTCTAAAACAAAGAGAGAGACAGAAAAGAACATCAATAGGCAATTCATATGGTCAATAAACTTAGGAGATGATACCTCACAAATAACCAAAGAACTGCAAGTAAAAACCAAAAAGACTGGCAAAGATGAAAAAGGTAAGTCTGAGAATTGCAAGGCTGTGAAGAGATAGGTAATAGAGAATCCAGGGCCACAGAATGACCTGCATGGACCCTACACATGTTTGTGTTCATGGGCCCCTTCCTCCAAAAAATACTAAAAATTGTATGTTATGAGTGCATTGGTACAAAGATGAATATAATCCTTTCTGGAGTCATTATCTATTACATATTCATTATTACATTCACTTTTTTCTCCTGCTTTAAAAAATTAAAATGTGTTTATGGCCCCTAAAACTATCGTGAGTCCTAAGCACTGTGCCTACTTGCCTAGTATCAGTCCTGGGACACCCTCATGGGGGCATAAACTTTTGCCGGGTCGGTGGCAATTTAGCAGCGTCTATCAGAATTCAAAATGTGTCTTACTTTAGCCCCAACAGTTACATTTTTAGAAATGTATCCCACAAACCTATCCATACAAATAGGCAAAGATACATGCATAAGGAAGTTCATTACACCGTTCATTGTTTGTAACTACAAAAAAATTTTAAACAGTTGAAATATCCATCAGCAGGGGAATGGTTAAATTAACTTTGGCACAGGAAAAGGCAGATATATATGGATTGATGTGGAGAGTTCACTTTTACACACTTTTAAATTTAAAAACTAACATTAGAAAATAACATTGAGCAAGATCACATTAATGTTGTACCTACATACACACACACACACACACACACACACACACACACACACTTCCCGAGACTGGAAAGATACACTATAAACTGTTCATATGATCATCTCTGACCCAGCAGAGTTGGGAAACACACTCTGAATAGTATGAATTTTTACAATTAGCATCTATTACTTATATAATAACAGAAAAAGATATTTACATTGTGAAGAGAAAAGGAAATATTTCTCTTTTTGATAAAGTTTGGACTCCTCCGAGGAAAGCAGTCTTCACGCAGAGCTGAGAGGCACTAGAGGATGCTCAGATAACCAAGTTGATTTCCTCTCCAGTGTCTTGCAAATCAGAAGCGGGAGAGGCAGCAAGATTTTCAAAGCACTCAAAAACAAAAACAAAGCCACAGGCAACTGAGTTTTCCTCATGAAACTATATTTGGCTGGTGCCTGAATCACAAAATGAGGCTTTCACTTGGCCCTCAAGTAGCTCTCCCAGCTCCTGAGCTAGTGGTAGGTCATCCAAAGCCTGGGCAGGCGCTGGGACTGAGAGGTAATGTTCTGAGCGACAGTTAGGAGAGTGGCAGTTGGAGCATGGGTGGACCTAGGTGGAGGGGCCCTAAGTCAAGCGCTATCTGCCAAGCCTCATTCTGGTCAAAGAGCCACGCCAACGCACTCCTTATTGTTTTAGGCAGAACTGCACCCAAATCTCCAAACCGATTCCACTTCAGAGAACAAGAGGCTCCTGGAGGCTGTGGTTTGTCTCAACCATGTTATCACTTTCTCCTAAGCAGAAGGAAGATGTTTATGAAACTCCACCAGAGGAGCCCACCAGAGATCCTGCACAGTTATTATGTTGGCGCAAAAGTAATTGTGGTTTTGGCCATTAAAAGTAATGGCGAGGCCAGGCACGGTGGCTCACGCCTGTAATCCCAGCACTTTGGGAGGCCGAGGTGGGTGGATCACCTGAGGTCAGGAGCTGAAGACCAGCCTGGCCAAGATGGTGAAACCCCATCTCTACTAAAAATACAAAAATTAGCCGGGCGTGGTGGAGGGTGCCTGTAATCCTAGCTACTCGGGAGGCTGAGGCAGAGAATTGCTTGAAACCGGGAGGCAGAGGTTGTAGTGAGCCGAGATTGTGCCACTGCACTCCAGCCTGGGTGACAGAGCGAGACTCCGTCTCAAAAAAGAAAAAAAAGTTAATGACAAGAGCTGCAATTACTTTTGCATTAACCTGATATTTCAAATAAGTAAGACTTGTGTGTGATAAAGTGTGCATTGTTTTTTCTGGTGAATGATGATGATGTTGGTACAGGGAGATGGCTACCCATGGACTGCAGGACAGTGAGGAGTCATGGAGGGGCCCAATTCAGGCAGTGTGGTGGGAGAAGTCAGATGACCAGGCAGGGACAGCTGGGATGAGCTCCTCTCCCTGGGATTTCTAGGCAGGGACGGGAGTGGTAGCAGAAACTTGTGCTGAATAGAGGCTGCTGCTGAGAAAAGGCTAACTGAATACATTAACCACTCATTAAACTGCTGATTAGTGCATGTCTACTGTGCGCAAGAAGCAGAGAAGTGGAAGAAACAAGAAAAGGACATACTTCCTGTCTTCAAGATGCTTATAGTCAGTTGAAGGAGATACAAAAGTGAATGCCTAAGGGAGACAGAAGAGGAATAGAAAGGAACAGCTACATAATGGCATAATGGATTCTGGGCTTCATACCTAGGTGGTGGGTTCATCTGTGCAGCAAACCACCGTGGCATACATTTACCTATATAACAAACCTGCACATCCTGCACATGTACCCTGGAACTTAAAAGTTGAAGAAAAAATAAAAATGAGAGAAATAAAAGAAATAAACAGCTATGTAAAGTCAGGGAGTTGGGAAAGGAGATGTAACTTCCGTCATGGGTCTGAGCCGATTCTTGAGAGATGGTTAGGGTTGGGTGTGAAGAGTTGGAAGGAGGCACACCCTGAGCCAAGGCACAAGGGTGAGAACTGTGGGGGCACACACTCCACACAGCAAGTAGTGCCATTAGGTTATAACACAGAAGGTGTGCCTGCAGTAGAAGATACAAGTGTCATGTGCACCTCCTGAAACTAAAAAATCAAAAGGTTTCTAGGAATATCTGCTCTGGTTCTCCTCCCTCAAACCTTCTAGCAGTTTCACAAGTCCCTCTCATTTTCTCCCTGTCCAGTCCTCAGTATCTCTGTCTAGTTTGCTGATGTAAATAGGGGATTTGAGTTAATTTTTTCCAAAATGTAATTAACATGATTTACATGATTACATGTGAGGGGTACAACTAATGACTTGACCAAGATCCAGTCAAAAGAAATGCTTCCTCCTTCTCCTTCTTTCTTATCAGCCTCATAGTTGACATTAACAAGGCACTTACTAGATGTAAAAGTTGTTGATAACTTCACATGAACTACTTTATGTAATCCTCACATCAACCCTATGGGGTATGTTCTCTTGCTCTCCTCATTTAACAGTTACATAAATAGAGGCTCAGTGGCAGTGTTCCCCCAACCCCAGAGATACCCAGGAGAAGGGTGCACAGTCAAGGAATTCCACATCTGCCCATACTCATCAAGACACAAAATGTGGTGGATGTGATCTCTTTGGAAACACAGAAACATAGAAAATATGCATGCATATTTTATGTGTCTGCTTTTTTTTTTATTCTTAAGAGTTTTAATTAATGAACCATGTAACATTTAAATCATGCAAAATAGACTGCATGCTGGCACTGACAATCCCCTGGGGAATTCAGCATTCTTTTTCCCTTACTGTGAAATTTAAGGCCACAGGAGGTATTTATTTCTGTGTCCACAGCTTATACCCACACCACCATGACCACCACCAGAATTTTCTCAGCCATTCCATAGGTACCAAATTGTCTCCAAGAGCTCTGGGTCCAGGCTAGTATCTCTCATTGCATCCTATGGTCTAACTGTGTCCCCCAAATTTTCATGTGTTGAAACTAAATTACCAATGTGATAGTATTAAGAGGTAGAGCCTTTGGGAGTGGAACCCCCATGAACGGGATTAACAACCTTATAAAAAGGCTGGAGGAACTAGCAATTGTCCCTTT